AAAAAAAAAAAAAAAAAAAAAAAAAAAAGTCAGGGTCAGTTTACACAAAATGTTAGTGGGGAGGGAGGTGTTTTTTCTCTTACTATATAAATGTAAACCCTAGCGTCCAAGTACCAGTGAAATACCAGCATTCTCACTTCAGCACAGCATTACTAACCTCTGGGGAAGGGGGGAGGGAAGGGGTCTGTATAGGTATGTTCTTAAGTAATGCAGAAACATCTTAATCTGGAACGGCCAAAAGCACCATAGTCTTGCATCTAGACTTAGAGCAGTCACTATTAGACAGTTTTAGATGAATACTGATTATTAATCACATCATATAACGAAAGGCTATCAACAGAAACTACGCAAGTAGCTTTGTAGGTCATCACCAAACTCTGTCAACCAAAGTCTTCATCACATCAGAGCTAGATCACTAGCAAAAGACAAAGTTATTTTAACACTGAGAGTATTGTTAAAAAAACCAAAACAACCTGAAGTCCCAATATGTCTGAATAGTATTAAAAATGGCTTATATCATAAGCCATTTATTGAGATGGTGAGGAACAAAGGAAAAATGAAGAAATCATGTGGATGCAATTCACGCTTAAACAGCCACATGAAAAGTTTTCCTTTGATCCTCAGAGCCGTGAAAAGGTAATACGAAACTGCTGTGAAAACCAAAGCAAAACCCATATCCAATAAAACACTTAAATGTAGCGTCCATACTTCTGATAAACTATACTGATAAGGAATGATCCCCCACTCGCAAAAGATGAACTCAGTCTGAAGTATCATTAGTCATACCTGACTTTTTTGCTGATGGTGGCAAGTTGCTGCCAGCACCTCCAGTGCCACCTCCTCCTGGACTGCCACCAACACCGCCAGGGCCACCAGGGGAACCAGTTTTCTTGCTCAGGAGACTATTGAAGAAGTTAGCCAGGACTCCTTCACTAGTAGCTCCAGCTACAAGGGGAAGGAGAGGAAAACAACACCCACAGCTCAAAACTAAAACCAAACAGATTTTCTAAGTAAATACTGATTTTGTGTTAGTCAATCTAAATAAGCACATTAAAGAAAGCAGGCAAAGCAGCTATTTTACTTCCCCAACCATATTTGTGCCCTCGTAAGAAAAGGTACCTTTCATATTGGGATCAATTTTTTTTGACCCAGTAGGGATAGGTGTAACACTGGCAACGTTTGATGTTACGGATCTATTTGGTGTCCTAGGAGATCCTCCAGGAACTCTTGGGGAGGCATCCTATGCAAAATAAAAAAAACAAAATCCGAAGCTGAACTAGTCAATCTTCTACAGAATTAAATCATGAAGCATAAGAGTACATGAAATAAAGCCTTTGCTCACACAGCTCCTAATCTTTTTTTTCATAATGTAGTAACCCACGTAACTGCAACAACACAGAATGAGATTTTGACGATCGTGTACAAGATTTTTTTTTTTTTTTTACACTTGTTTGACATTCATACAAGTACTAGCTTTTCTTTTTATGTCAATGAGAAACTTGAAAATCCGTCTGTTACTCAGCAGTGCCTCTGACTGTAATGAAGACTGCACTGATTAGATCATAGAGGAACTACACCGAATTTCTTGGAAAGACACCACATACCACCAATCCCGTGGAAGGGACTAAATGCAGCCCAGGAGAAAAAGTGTTACTCATTACTTCAAGGATAACACGCCTGCAAAATTGCAGTTTATCTAAAAAGGTAAAACTACCTTTATAAGATCACATGCTCCCCTGTGTTAACCTTTTAGTTATTTTATTTGTATACAAGTAAACGCACATTTATTATCATTTAATACAAATTTAAATGTACATGATGTCCTAGTTTTCATTTGATCTTAATTTTATGCCAGAGTCTTCATACTCTTAGAGAGGTAGTGCCAAATTTAGGATATGAAACTCACCAAGGCAATTCAGCCAACAGAGTTTGCTCCCTGGCACGCTCTTGGGACAGAAATGGGAGTCAAACTGCTTCAATGCATTCTAACATACGAGAAGTAAAGCCATGACATTTAGCCCTTGCTGTCAATATTAGTTGTCATGACTAGCTGTGAAGAAGTGCCATAATTTTAGAGCAGTACACAATACACACTCTAAACACTGGGTAGTTTTAAAAAAAATTAGATCAAAGAATATTTGATAGTGCAATTAAAACAAGCAACCTTCTAAATATATGAAAGTGAATCGTTTTCATGTGGTATTTAAAATTTTTATTACTAACCACTGGCCTTCCTGCAGCAGTAGGTGGTTGTTTCGCCAGCTGTGACTGCAAAAAACAAACAAACCCATGTAGTGTTAGATATTACAGTAGCTAAGAATACAAACCCAAATTAGTAGTGAGAATGTTGTTAAATGAAACACTGGCTGCTTGTTTTATAGATGGAAAATTACCTGCTGCTTCATAAGAAATACTTGGTCGTCTTCTGCTACAATTTCTTTTTCATGAACAAACTGCAATACAAAAACATTAATGTGATTTTGACTAGAAGAAATGCATTTCCTTTTATTCTTCCCCATGAATATGACCAAGGCATTCAATGATGAATTAAATGTGTAAAGTACTGTTGACTGCAGATCATGTTTTCTGTATTGAAGACAGCTACCTCATGATTCCATTTAAGCTAAATTAGTAAGTGAAATAGATCTTGGGATCTGTAAGAAATATTCACAGATGCACATGCTCTGCAGCATGATTATGTCTCCGTTAACTTATCCAGGCCCAACTTTGGTATTATTTTATAGATAGCTATGGCAAGAGTGACTCTGCACCCGCGTTGCATCAGACTTGTATATGAATGGGACAGAGACATCTTAGATCCTGGGTCTATGCATCAAATCACTCTCCCTCCAAATAAGCTCACCACAAAAAACTGTGCCAGAACAAGCGTAACAAGTATCAACAAAGTTTATAATCCAGATCTGGAGTTTGTAAGTATGCAAAAACCCCTGTGAGTTATATTCTCCTTGGACACTTAATGATTTAATATACTACTATAGATGTCTTGATTTTTTCCCTAAAGATTGCAAAAAGGACACAGTATTAGTTTTCTCAGCTAAAATAATTCACACTTGGAAGTATGATCAGTCCCAAATTCTTTGCTTTGTTAGAAAAAGCCATAGAAATATTTGCCTTCAGTAACTTCTGTATGCATGGGGCCCACAGCTGCTGACATTCTGTTCAACAGTCCCACATGTGTTTTCAGGTAGTTCTGTCAAAGCCTTTTGTTAATTAGTACAAGAGAGAAACCATACTGAATATACGTACGACCCGTTTCCACATGTTTATTTTTGATTTTACACTGTCTCAAGCGTTCTTATTTTAAATAGCCCAATAGCAACAGAAAGCATTAAGTTACGAGCAACTTGGAGCAAAATGGAACATTCTTTAAAAATATTAACTCAACCTGACCAACAGCTAAATGACACTTAGACTTTTCAATGCCAAATATGTATTAAAAGCAAAACAAGTATATTTGTAGTACTAGACAATGTAACAGCGGCAGGAAAAAAAAGTGTAAGCTGGAGAAGAGCTATACAGATCAAAAATACATAGTAATTTTTTGATAACTGAAGAACTGCAAGAACAAAATAAAAAGACAAAGTAAGAAAAAACCCACATGGTTTATCACACCCTTATGATAAATTGGAAGCAAAGTCTGAAAGAAAAAGAAACGGTCAAAAAACTTACAGATAAATAAATAGATAGGAAGTCGAATGCCAAGACATCTCAATTTACCTTTCTGACCGGTGGTTTTGTTATGATATCTTCAAAACCGTCTTCTGCTTTTAGTGTCTGAAAGTTCTCGTGCAATATTCCTATCTTCTTGTCATTATCCCAACCTGCAGGACTAGAGAAAGGATTATTTGGCTTTAAATTCTATTGTTACTTCAGGTTATTCTTGTACTGCACAGAACTGAGAGCCAGAAACGTTGTCATAGGTCCCATTCCGCTCTGCAAGCTAGTTATTGACTAGTACAACTATTTGGAGATTGGTTCACCCTAACAGAGAAGAGCAAGATCTCTGGGTTTAACATTTCTCTTTGGGGCAGTAAGTATTTAAAATCTCAATCCACTGGCACTCGCCAAACTCCAACTCATGAGAATGTTACATGGAACTTCAAAAAGCGTAAACAAAAAAGGCTCTAATTGCTGTTTTAGTCTTGCACAAATACATTTTGAAGTCATATAGACATAATAATGCAGGTAGCTTACATAAATACTGCATCTTTTTCCACAACAGCAGCTGGAACATTGAAAGGAAATCCATACAACTTCTGGACTATGTATTTATACACTAAATCAATGTTTTTGTTCTCCTTTACTGAAGTGTAAATAAGTGCTGCCCCATCTGAATAAACTTGTTAAAGAAAACTCAGTTGAGTGGTTAGAAAGAGATACAAAAGTGACCCTTTTTTGACAGTTTAACCATTATCTACTTTGTAGAATTTAGAGAGGGAATACAAAATCAAACAGGTCAAACAACTGCCAACACTTGATTTTTGAAATAAGCTATTTGGCAACTTAAATCTTTCTTTCCACATTTGTTTTAGGCCAACTCAGCTATTGCTTTCTAGGTAAAGTACAGGCTCTTCTCACCTTAGAATGAAGGCAAACGAGTTGTGCTCTATCAGTTACTAAAAGACCGAGAGTGCTTAATGTTCCAGCATAGTTCAGCATCACATTAACACAGCTTTATTAACACAGCATTAATAAAAGCAGCCAGGGAAATTTTGAGTAATTTTTAACTTTAGGATTATAAAAATGCCACCCCCCCTAATTTATTTGTACATGCAGGCAATTCAAATTCTAGAAGGAAGTTATATAATGGGATCCAATTCCCACTCAGTGAAGTTTAGACTAAAATTCCAAGTTTTACATGGCATCCACAATCACAGAGACTAATTCCTATGCATCTTTTGTAGTCTTCCTCCATCCACAAGACTTATTACAGTTACCCGTAATTCCATTTTGAAAAACTGGGCCTTGGAAGCCTTTTGAAGGAAGTGCCACGTTGGTACTCAACTGAGGTTCCTGAAGTAACTTTTCTATTTGTTCACTGTGGCCTCTCCAATAGCATTTAAGCTTCCCTTTAACACAGCAAAAATGATGATGACACAACGCAGTCATATTACTGGCATCTGAAATCTACATCTCAGCATGCCTAGCCGACTAAATAACCCTAAACAGTATTTTATGCACTTCTAAAAAAAAGAAGTTTAAAGATAATGATAGCACAGCGACAGCTTATGTGCATTGTCTCTGTACCAACACAAGAGAAGCCAGTGGACCTTTCCTACAGCAATTCACACGTCTTTCCTTCCCGCATCACCTCATCCCGTGGAATTACTGAATGCTGAAGAGACCGCATATTTGAGTCAAAAAGAATAGCATGCCTTATGTGCATATGGAAATGAAGGCAAGTAAAGAAATTCATGGTAAGGGGACATGCTAGACTCTTGCAGCTCTGTAAAAAAAGAAAACGAACAGAAGAGTTTAACTCAACATTGTCTTAGGAGGTAGCTGAAGCAGCCTGCCGGCTACAGTAAAGGAGTTACATACTACTTTGGTATAGATGCACATATTCTTTTAAGCTGGTCATAATGCAAAGATTTAATTCAGTTGTTATCATCTGTATCATGTGTTAAAGGATACATTGTAAGCAAAACCGTCTGATATGCGACTGAATGAAGTCAAAGTGTTCATCTCTGTAGTCATGCTCTTTTTCCAGAACACTGATGGCATCACACTGTCAAGATAAACACAAAATTAATATGCCACTTTCAGTTATCTGTTGAAATAGCAGTGCTGCTACACGTCCAGTTCATAACTGGGCAAGGGGGATGGAGTGGGGTGGTGCAGAGAAAAAAAAGCTTGCTGAGATAGTTTAGAGACATAATGGAAGACAATTCAAAAACCAAGACAGATATATAACTTGATGTGCAGGTACTGAGGTCAGCATTAACTTGGGAGTTAAACTGATTGCTATTTTTCATTCACTCCCCCTCCAATGCAATAACTCAAACTCTTTTGAAATCTGACCCACCGAATGACACCACCATTTTCTGCTCAATGGTGGCGTTTTGTTTTGGGGTTTTTTGGTTTTTTTTACACTGTGGCATTACAGAACACAGTGGTTTTTATCCAGTTACAAACTAGCCCTTTGCAAAGGGAAGCAAAAGCAAGAAATGTGGAAACAAAGAAAGAAAAAAAAAGGGTGGGGGGAGATGAGTAACAAGAGTGCTAGCAGGTGAGAATGAAGCTGCTTTTCAAACAAGAGGCTTAGCCTTCCAGTGAAGGAAGAGCATATGCATCAAAAGGTTTATTCTTTCACTGTGGGCCAGCAGAGGCTGCAAATGCAGTATGCTTAATGCCAATGAGAACTGAAGAGCCGGGAGAAAAATCAAAAATGAAAAACCAAAATCAGCCACAAGATAACCACACCATTTTTTCTTTAAACTAAGAACATGGTCACATATCCAACAGAAACCAAAACAGATCACAAGAAACACCCTAAGAACTGAGAAAAGTTAACAGAGCAGCACTTCACTAACTAGAACCCTCAAATATATTAATCTCCATAAACAGATCAGAAACATTAAAAATAAAAAAACCCAAACCCTACTAAAACATTATTTGCAGAATGAAGACGACTATGGAGATCAAGGGGAATTCTAGTCGCTTAGTGACTAGTTCACTTCTATGTACAAAACCATGTCTGAGGTATTCCTCAATTCCTTGAAAGCTGGTATCACTAAAGGAAAAACTACTCCCAAACTACATGCAGTCAGGGCTTCCAGAAAATAACCAACCTTCAACATTAAACATTTTTAAAGAATTCTTATCCAGGGTATTCAGAATGACTTAAAACCCATGTGCTTCCCACCCCGAATCCACAATTGACAGAGTTGCTTAAATTAAACATACAAAAAACCTAAAATGTGAAACAAACCTTTGTACAAACTACTACTACTGGAATGCCTAAGTTACATGTTAGTGTATCTGCACCCAGGGGTAAAATCACACTGTCATCTTTGTCTTCCTGTAATGAAGTATTTCTTCTCTGTGGAGAAGCTGGAAAATCCTCGCCTGGTTCTACATATTCCTGGAAGTCTCTTACCACTGAAAGTAAAAAAAGTTATATTAAAAGATCAGCTCCTGTATTATTTCAACAATGATTTCCACTGCCATTGATCTCTAGCACTGTTGATTGTATAGTACTTCTGCTTCTTTACGTTGAAAAAAATTGAGCATGCACCAAGCACTGACTATTTGTTTCCTCTGTGCAGCGCAAGAGAGAACTACTAAGATTGAAATCTGCTCTACCAGCAACCAGAACATGAGCAGATGAAACTGTCCACAGGGACAGCATCGACCCATTTTTCTTTTATCATTGTGGAACCACTAGGCAGTAAGTACTAACTATTATTGCTTGATACATTTCCTAAAGGACATAAGTTTCCTTGCGTTCTTCTGGGAAAAATTAACAGAACAGTTTGCTAGAATAAACAGAATTAAGCCTTACACATATTGCTTAGCTGCTACCGTATACCAGGTTTTACCTAAAACCCCTTTGTCCACATTTCTCTCTCTGTACAGTCAATCTACAGTAGTAATAAGCAGAAAGAATAAATACATAAACATTAGTTATTAACTAACTTAAAAATTAGTTAACAGCATATTAAATATTTGGTATGCTTTTACAATAGAGCAGATACTACTTTAGAATTTAGCAAGGAGGGCAAGTCAGACTATTACAAGAATTAGAAAGATAGAGTTAGAACTCTCTTGTCATGTTCTGATGCATACACCCAAGCCTCTAATGATATTGTCAGTTACTATTCCTACAGTGCAATATTAGGCACAAAATGTCTGTACCTTTCACATCAGGTCCTGTTTCACACAGCAGAAACAGGATTCTACCAAACCCTACCACTGATTACTTCTGAGTAGCACATCCTCATTCAGCCAAAAAAGAAAAAAAATAATTAAAAAAAAAATCAGGCAGCAAGACAATTCAGCTGCATCAGGCACACGAGCAGTGAACTATTTCAGTACACAGTCACTGCTTTGTCCTGATCTATGTTAGTCCTCTGCTACTTTCACTAAACTGACTGAAGCTCTCCGATTTCATACCTAGAAAAGCATGAGTTGAATTAACAGAGCAAGACTTATTTCAAACACCCTAGAGAAAAAGACGTATTAGGCCAAGATTATTCAAATTTTCTACAGATCTTGGAGTTCACAATCACAAAAAGCACGTGCACAGATTATCATCTCTGCTCGAACAGTCAACTCAGGCTTTTATTCAGGGAATGCTGCTATTTCTGTCTGGTCTGAGAACTTCTGAAAGCCTCCCAAATCAACTGTGTTTTAAACCCACAGTTCTCACCAAGATACACCAGCTGCTCAAGGGAATCTTGCCTACACAGCTTCCTCTCTGTTCTGGGGTAATTGCACGCTAATATAAAATTCACACTACTCCAGTGCTAGAAGTCCTCCAGTAGATTCCTAAAATTACCATTGTATGATCATGACATACTAATCTTTATGCAGAAAACAGTAAAAAGGAAGATAGATGTATTATATCACAGCTCAAAGACTATGGAATAGAATCTCAGGTCTTCCTCAGAGACACAATTAAAATGACCAGGCCACAAGGCTTCATTAGACACAGCTGAATTCAGTAATAGGAAGAGCTATTCCAACCCTTTACACACAGCTGCTATGTATACCCTTATGCCTTCCTGTACCAGTTTTAGTCCTCACAGGGTCTGTCTTTGAGTGGAATTAAGTTGCCAGAACTGGAAGACAAATACAGCAGCACACCTCCAGAAAGCTACATACACAAACCCTCTGTAGTCCTCTTTGCAGGTTAAATCAGCTCGTGAGAGACTCTTGGGAGCACTGAGCCTGACACAAGAATAAAAGTAGGATCATATAGCCAAAAGTCAGGTAAACAAAATTCCTCCCTCCTCCTTTTGGCAGCGTCAAGCTGCTGCCCGCCTAGCAATGCAAGAAGCCATACCACAGGTGGTTCAAGCCAAAACCAGCTTCCCATCACATCTGGACTGTGTCCAGGGCTTCTATTACACCCAACACACAGACCATCAATATCCGTAAGAAGTAGACCACATGATAAAACAACAAGAGAGCAGACAAAACTTTTAACGAGCAGCTGCTTTTCTTGAGTCACTTCATCATTTAAATTTTCTGGATTTTGTAGAGTTTCACTATTCTGCTTGCTAAGTCAGTAAAGAAGCAAAACTAGCATATACATTTTTGATAACTGAGATACTGTGTCCTTACTACTTTCATCCAGTAAAATCCTATCCTGAAACTGTTGAGGGGGTGTTTAATACACACACTAACACCACGCCCCCAAAACCAAACTAAACAGAAAACTGCACCCAAAAGAGCTCAGCTCCTCCCTCCTAAACAAGTTCTTGTTGTGGAAGATACGATTCTCAAGGATGATACTCCCCTTACAAAAATATCTCTCTTTAAAAGAATAAACAAAACAACCAACACCCCCCACCCCCATTCCAGAGTATCTACAACTGTCACCTTATGGGCTACTTTATCACAGCATGACTACAACCTGCATTTCTGAACAAGCTACTCAGCAATCTGGCAGTCAGTTGCTTAAGAACATACCAGTCCCAGAGAACAACTTCAGACTTATAAACAAAGTTTAATCATGCTGTTTGATCTTAACACACAGCTTTCTCAAATGCTCTTCCTCATAGTACCTCACTAAGAGACGAACGGGAAAGATTCATGTTTTAGTACCCCAAAGGAAACACAGTGCCTATCCAAAAGTAATATGGAGCTGTAATGTAAGTGAGTTCCGTCAGAGAGTTTAAGGAATCCTGCAAAATTTTTGCATTCTGCATGTTTAAAACTAAAAAGATAAGACACTAATAGAGCTATATCATATCCATGGCAAAACATATAGCTGCATTAGTGTCAATAATAATTATGGTAAAACTTTTCAAGTAGAAAGGGCCCAGACATTACCACGCTGTCATGAATCCTTTCCACATTTACACTTTTGATAGGCAGGGATCGGGTCCCAAATTCTCTAGATTGACTAGTTACAGGAACAGTTAAGAAGCTGATGCAGTGATTTGCCTTTTAAATAAATAAATAACATTTAAAAAAAAATTGAAAGCTAAGGTGTTTTTTCACTTGGGAGAATCTCATCTAGAAAAATCTGTAAGAAGCAACATTGTAAATTCAACCCAGCTGTGTTCATTCTGAAAGCTCCCCCCCAATAAAGGTACTTCTGTCAGAAAGAAATACTAGTATTTTTCATACAGCTACGTGAGATTTATGTGAAGCTTGACTTGCTTGATAAATCCTAATTCAGTAACGTTTCCAAAGAATGAAAAAAAGACTGCAATGGGGAGATTAAATGGTGCAGAAAGCATTAAGCATATTTGATTTAAATGGACTCTATGTATTTGCAGAATACTCACACTTTTGTTCCATTTCTTTCATTTCTTCAGGTGGAATTTTTAACTTGTCAATATGTTCTCTTACAACACTTGCCCATTTTTGTAAAGAATCCAGTGCAGTCCAAGGTCTAGACATGTCTACTACCAACATAATTAGAGTGTCCTTTAGAGAGCTTGCCTCCATAGCAAATTTAAGAAGACCTTTGTGATACAGGTCGCCATCCAAAATCCACACATTACATCTTGTTTGGTCTACAAAAAATGGAAAAACATTTTATGAGACTTACTTGAAACAGTCCACCACATAATGGCTATTAAATCTTCTTTAGACATGTAAAATACAAGGAAGAAAGCAGCTGATGTGTTTTATCAGTCAAGTGAACACACATAACGCCACAGCAAACTCCAGCTTGTGGAGACCCCCTGCTCCCAAACCCTCATGTTTAATGGCTGATAACTGAAGATCGCAAATACATTACCTGAAAGTGAGGATCCAGAGATAGCACTCAACACTTCCAAAATCAATGTTCACCATTTTAGAAAGGGAAAACGTTTTCTTCAAGATGCCGTTTAGAAGGGGGGAACGGGGTGAATTCACCCATCCCCTCTCAGCCCTTGGCCTGCTCAGCTCTCAAGGACTGCCATCTCCCCTTCAAAACCCCAATGCGATATGCCTACATAACTCTTAAAAGAACAGGATGTACCTCGTTCCTTCAGAAAACTGGAGCAGAACTGCAAGTTTTTAATGATTTAGATGGAATTATAGCAGGCAAGATAGTTACTCTTCAGATTTGCAAAATAACAAACATCATACAAATAGACCATTCTCACTGCTTTTTCTTCCCCTAAAACACCATATTCCAATATTCAGAGACACTTCCGTGGTAAACGAAGAGCTGGTGATTCAAAATTAGATGGCTTAATAGAATTACATTTTGCCTTCAGATAAGTTTTTATTACTCGCTACAGAAGTTCTGAGACAGACATTTAGACCAAACTCCCAATACTCTTAAGCCTGGTCAAGTCATCTTTGAGACCAATAGCCAGACATGGAAGTCAGAAAAGCAGATGATTTCAGGAAAAAAAAAAGGGGGTGGCTAAATTCTTCTGGTTCTCCTTCTATCTATATTTGCTCTTATAGCATGGACAAGAGTTCCCATTTTTCCCCACAGCTCCCACTATATCCTTATTCACACCCCACACCCTCTAACTATCGCCTCTAGATAATTCATTGTACCTCTAGAGTGCCTGGTCACCGTCCTCCCCTTTTTCCCCCCCTATAGAAGCATCAATTATCCATTCCATAACTGCAGGTATTTGGGGTCTGGATTTTGAACAACTTTTTTACTATCTAGCTGTAAAGCCAACTTCTACTTTATTTTCTCCTTCCTTCAAATTTTTGGGTTTGTGGTTTGGGGTTTTTGTTGTTGTTTTTTTGTTTTTAAAATCTCCTTTAGCATTGTGCACATTTTCCTACCCATCAGTACATGATACGTAGCCTTGCAGATTCTGATACCACCAAGACAAAGGTTTCTCCATATGTTCAAAAAGATAAATATTTGCTGCAATGCTAGAGATGCAAGACAAGAGCCCAGGCACCTTTTCCTCTATGCCTGAGGAATGCACTTTTGCCTACCATCCATTCAGAATGCTGCACCTAAGACTGCTTCCCTGGTCTTTTCTTTCAGCCTTTTCTTTTGACTGGCTCTTCTCCTCCTCTACCACTTAAAGTGGTCATTCATGGTATCTACAAAAGGAAGTACACTGAGAAACTTCCTCATGATATAAATCACTCATGGCCTAAGATGGACTCCTGCAAATTATAAAGAAAGAAAAACATCCCACTGTCATTCCAAATATCACACTACTGAACCACTGCTTTCAAACTGGTTGAAGGTAATATTAGAAATACAAACTTACCATCTCGATCTTCATCATGGACATTTAGATACAAATACTCCATTCCTCTTCCTTTTTTGTATTCCTCTATTCCTTGAATTTTTCCTATTAAGCTAGTTTTACCTGCTCCATCTTCACCTGAAGAGATAGAAGTTAGATACCACTCAATCTTTAATCACAGTTACATATTAAAAACCACATGGGGCAAGAAGAAAACCATATACTAACAGTGACTGAGATCATTAAAGTTTGAAACATAGCAGGCTTTGCCCAACTCATCCATCTGTTCAAAGTGCATGCCTCAGCTTCAAGTTTTATTTGTAATTATTAATAAATGCAATTATGCCACTAACTACCCTATCTGAAATAGGCTCTTTTATGTATCTTTAAAGATATTGTAAGGAGTAGTTAAACACCTCTAAAAATTTCAGTCTTTCAACTGCAACCAAAGCACTAACAAAGTCTTTCTAAAGTAGCATTCAAGTCACAGCAAGCTCATCACAATCAGGTGGCTACTATTTAGAACTCTCATCTCAAACAGCACACACCACCAGGCTCAGTAAGGCAGATCCTTAGCTTTTATGGGTTGGTTTTATTGAATCTTTTCTCTCTTACAGGTCTAAAGAAACCCTAAACAGAGGAGACAAACAGTAAGCCCCTTGCTTAACAATACATGTGTGTTTTGGGTACACACACAATGACAAGCCTGCAATCCATATCATAGAATCATAGAATGTTTTGAGTTGGAAGGGACCCCTAGAGGTCATCTAGTCCAACCCCCCTGCAGTGAGCAGGGACACTACTAACTAGATCCAGATCCATTCACTCCTATTCTCTCCCCTCCAAACAGAGCTCAGATAACCAGGGAACCTTACAGCACAAACACAGTGTAAACACCTCAACCATTTCCAGAGTTCTTCTTGAAAAACTTGTATGTCCCAGATCTGGAGGACTTCATGTGCACCTCTTCCAGTTTGAAAGAATAGCCAAGCCGAATTTGGACACAAAGCGGGGTTTTGCCACTCTAATTGGGCAGTGTGATGGGCACATAACAGTTAGATATTAGAAAATTCTTGCCACTCACTCACAAGTTATAAAATTAAGATTAAAACCAGGTTCCTAAGTAGTACCTTAACAGTTTTATGCCAAACAGAACTTTTTTTTTTTTTTCCCCAAGGCTCTCCTATACAGAGTATAAACACTTGCTTTTAGCTACATAACAAAGAAAATTTTGAGTTCAAGGACAGTAATCTTCACTGCTAAACACAATGATGTTTTCCCTTTAAAGGGAATTGACCATGATCTTATAGACAATGGTACATTATGGCTACATTAAAAAGACTACAGATTTAACCACAGAAAAGAGCAGAAAAATCATAATTTGATAGACTGATTTTGAATTTACTCAACACATCTTTCCCAAGATTACTGCATGAAGTCTTCAATTTAGAGTTCTGCTTTAGGTTCAGATTCCACTAATAGTCTAGAAGCAACCAGAAATCATAAGATTGTTTACCCTAAGTAGCCTAAAGGATTTTACTCAATGGAATGAAAAGGCATTAAAAAAAAGAAAGCGAGCAAGAGAGAAAAATAAGACCAGAACTGAAGTTTAAGATCTGGTTACTGGTTTAAGATCTGTAGAAAAGTTAAATGAAAAATGAAGTTGTATCAGTTTAACCTTTTCAACATTTAAGAGTTTGTTTGCTAGGTCCTTAACTTTAGTAAATAAAGACATACCTAAGAAAACAATTACAGCTGTGCTTCCCGATGTTTAAAATTAGCTATTTGCTAGTCATACACCAAGTTTTTCCTCTTCTTGTGAGAATATTCTTTTATTTAAAGTTCTGCCCAAGAAATGAAAAAGTTCAAGCTTCTTTACCACAGATGAATTACAATTCCTCCTCTGCCCTCACCCTAGTACTTAGCCAAGCTTCTGTGCTGGTTTTCGCTAGGATAGCGCTAATTTTCTTTACAGTAGCTAGTATGGGGCTGGTTTGGATTTGTGTGCTGAAAACAGCGTTGATAACACAGGGATGTTATCATTATTGCTGAGCAGTGCTTACACAGAGTCAAGGCCTTTTCTGCTTCTCACAGCAACCCATGGGACACAGCCAGAACAACTTACCCCACTGACCAAAGGGGTGTTCCATACCATATGACGTTATGCTCACCATATAAAGCTGGGGGAAGAAGGAGGAAGGGGGCAGGGGGTGCGTTCAGAGCGATGGCGTTTGACTTCCCAAATAACTGTTACATGTGATGGAGCCCTGCTTTCCTGGGGATGGCTGAGCACCTGCCTGCCGATGGGAAGTAGTGAATGAACTTTTCGTTTTACTTTGCTTGTGTGCACAGCTTTTGCTTTACTTATTAAACTGTCTTTATCTCAACCCACGAGTTTTCTTACTTTTACTCTTCCAATTCTCTCCCCCATCCCACTGGGGCGGAGTGAGTGAGCAGCTGTGGGGTGCTTAGTTGTTGGCTGGGGTTAAACCGTGACAGCTTCTTAAATTTGTCATCTGCAAATAACTGGGGAGACTTTATTAAGAGCTGCTGCACTGGCACGTTATGCTGCTGAAGTTGCTATTACTTCTGCCAACCATTTCTGTATGATTCATTCTGTTATTTTACCTTTTTGAACAGGCAGCTTCAATTCATTTGTGCCAGCAGAAGGCTCAAAAGGTAAGACAAAACAAGACTTGTTATTCCTTTTAAAGAGGAGTTGCAGTTAATAGCTTTCCTAGTTTCTCAGAACAGCTGACCTCTAAGTTCTCCTGCATACTAGTTTGTTTTACACAGGTGGCAATAAACATTACAATTTCTTTGCATTGGGAAAGTTTAGCATCTTCTGCAACCTTAACTAAAGTGGCTGCAACTTAAGTCTAAGAAAAATCTGTGGTTATAAAAAGTTGTAAACATGAAAAAAAATACACTTAAGCAGTCTAAACTAAAGTTTGCTTATACAAATACTAATGTCTATACAACTTTATTGTTTGAAAGTGCCCATGCTAAACAATACAGGCAAACTTGAACTATACATCCCACAAGTCCCTTATCATGGCTGTGTGTTGTGCGATTTCCTCCCCACCCCCTTATTTCCAAATGCCTGAAGTAAACTGAAGTTCAGTACTGTTAAGGTAATGTCTTATGGCAAAATGAGAGCTGGAATTTTATTTTCCCTCCTCAGGTTTTCCAGCAATTATCTTCAGAGCCTACACAGAAAGTAACTTCATCGGTACAGCATAAGACAAGTTGATTTGATGTAAAATTAGTACCTTTGGACATATATGTATGCACAGTAGTTATTTCAGCCTTCCATTATGGAATTAGTTAATTTTAATCTGTTCTGTGAAGAAGATTCTCTACTCCCTTCTCCTTAGCAAATATCCCCCCATTTCAAAACACTAAGATCAGGTAAGTGGATCACTGACATATATAACCATATTATACAAGTTAATACATGCAGAGAGCAGTGCTCAACATTCACTAGAAAGCCAGAATGATGCATCAGTGGAGTTTGAAGGGTCTAGTACTACTTTCATTAATTACTCAGGTAAATGAAGAGAATAGTACCGTTTGCAGATGATAGAAGAGAAACAAAAAGATCTGTGGAGAAAAGGGTTAGAAGCTGTACTGACAAGTGGTCCAAAACAAGTTAGCAATGCATAAACCAAGTAGTCTTCAAGTAGGACAACTCACTTGCAAGGATGGCAAGATAGCTGCCTAGCCAAATGTGCCCTATTCCACAGGAGATCCAAAGTTCTCAACAGATTTAAGCCAAATTAGAGTCGGTGTTATGGAAAAAGCTGTCAGAAAGTAAAACCAGGACCATCATATAGGACATAAGGACTTCCTCCATTTTGCCCGCACAATTAATAATGAAAAGTTCAGAAGAGATGATTGCTTTGGCCAAGAGAACAGGCTAAGACTTGAGGTTCCATCTACCTTTACTTTCTATTTTTAGTATGTTGCATATACCTTTTAAAATTGTGACAGCTGCAAATGTATTTGTATCCTTGTTATTAATTTATTTTTTCCAAACTAAAGTCTTCAATATAAAACACCCGAAAAGTCAACACACTTTGAATATATCTAGTTATGCTGGGAAAGAGCAGCAGTATAATTTTGCTTTGTCCTTACTCTTCAGTGAGAACATCAAAATACAAATCTATCTTGAACCAGTGCTTATCTAAAACTCCTGAATAGTTACTACAAATCTCATTAGCAAATGAATTCTAAGTGCATGCAATGCTAGCTTTTAAGACTTCTCAAAACTCAAACATTGCATTGTGATGCCTTTAGTAAGTATATATATTCTCTCCACCAGAGGAGGGGGGAAATATTCGTGACTAAATTGAAGTCTATTAGCTAATTTAGGTTTGATGGATAGTGTACAGCATAGTAATGCAATTAGTGTTAAGTACTACCAGGGACATATATAAGTGTATTATGCTTTTTAAAAAAAAATAATTTCTCAATAACAATACTTATATACACACACACACTATACGGCATTTGAAATTACAAACCCTAGGACATTTAGGCATCTTTACCTTTTTTGCTGTCTCTGGATATCTCTCTAAAGCATATGAAAAAGTAATGCTGCTTAGTTTCAGACAAAGGGGAATTTCATATTCCTCAGACTTAAACATCTTTGCTTTAATATTACAAAACAGATTTTTTTTTTTTTTTAAAGTGCTACTGAAGCAATATATAAAACAGAGCCTTATGCACCTTCAGAAAGTCATATTCATCCTCCTCTTCCCTCCAAAATTTTTGAGATGGAAAATCCTTTAGCTTCTTCTTTATTTCTAACTCTGTGATAATCAGATTAACAATTGACTTCCGTATGTAAGTTCACAGAGCAAAACATTTCTGACACACAATTCTCAATACAGAATTGCAAGGTAGAATAAAAATCAAGCAGATTGTTGCAAATTTAAGACATTTGCATCCTTCTTTTGCAAATAAGATAAAAGGTCCTCTTTTTCCAGAGTAAATCTTAAAGAATGTAATTCCCCATTACATCAAACTGCACTTACACATTAATACTATGGTGAGGAAACAGAAGCGATGCTGCCAGCAAGCTGTACTACACACCAAAGCTGAACGCAAGTAAAAGAGGGACAACAGATTTAATTCTGCAGAAAAGTCAGGCTAGGAAGCAGCTGAAACAAAGCCAAACCAATCTGCTTACACACAGTATTTCACCATCTTGTTAACAAAATGGAAAGTCTTCTGCTCAAGTGAAGAAAGGCCATTTCATTATTCTTCCTGCACCACTACAGGTCACTCCTCTGATGAGCTCCTCAAATTCGGGGTGGTGTTCCTCAAAGCTTCTCTGTCCAAGGTGCTACTCCATCTACAGACCAGGGTTTGGTGATGGTCCTTCTTGTTCCTGCCTTCAGAGATACAGGAAGCTGACCCTGCCCAGCCTCCTCCCTTCTCACTAGTCCAGGCAAAAAGTGTGTTTACTGAGCAGAAAATGGAGTATCACTAGATGTTCTGCTACAATACAGAATTTAGCAGAACGGTCACCTGTAGATGGGAAGGATGGGCAATGAGGTGAATTAACCGCCTTCTGTGAACACAGGCAAGCGAGCACTTATCTATGAACTGCTACTTAAAACTGTTCAACCTTAAACTATCCCATTAGAGACAGCTTAGGCTCTCTGTTACAGACCTTCTCTAAACTTTCAATTAAACATTTTAAAATTAAGAATATTTACTACTCATGCTATTTCCACATTTCTTTCGGTTTAGAAAATGAAAACAGAAGTAGATTTTCACTTAAGATATTTCTTACTCCTCACAGAAGTCTGTACATGGAAGAGCAATCAATGTGTTATCTCCAGGACAGACATAAGTTTTGATTTTTATTTTAAAGTGTTTCTCCACTGTAAAGTGACAAGTGTGTTTAAAATATGGCAAGGCAAAGAAGCAAGAGGTGAATGATGTTTCTTTTCTGTCATCAGTATTGTTGGTCTGCCCCCCTTCAATCTGGGGCTCTGATTTTTTTCAACAGCTTGGAAAAACCCTGGATGCACTTAACTGTGTGCAATCTATAATTCTACTGGTTCCTTGACAGAGTTTTTTGGTTTGCTTTTTAAAACTATCAATTAAAATTCAGCTTGATATGGGAATTACACAACTCCTCTCAAAAAAGTATGTTCAAGCAAGGCCAAGCAAAACTAGATATAAGGGTCCTAATTAACCCCTTCCACCTGCCCAAAGGGCATATTTTTGTAAACTAGCCTTACACTTTTTACAAAACAAAGACAGCTTCTGGGTAGAACAATTCACAATATCTAATATTTCTAACATAAAACATTGAATATTTTTGTTAATAGAAAAGACCCATTTCCCACTTAAATATGATAGAACAAAGGCAAACCCAAACCTGAGTTATCAAACAGGGCAAAAATGCCTTCCCAGAATCACAGAGCAATCTCTACTGCACACCACGTGAAATGTCTGAATCCTAATACAGTGGAGTGGAGACATTAACAGTCATCTTCCTACTAGAACCAAGCACATGTGTACTATAGCTGTTTTCAAGATAAAACACTTCTCAAGCTAGTAATTGCCTTTTCCACAGCCACATATTAGTGAATGAGACTTGTTTACACATACTACAGTAATTGAAGAATGCCTTTTGCAGAACAAGACCAAAATAATCAGAGTAGGCCAAATTTAGTCTGCTTTTAGAGAACTGAAGAAGAAAATTAATTATGCTGATGAGATCCTTCTCTAGAATCCCTCAAAACAACATGGAAGTTCATAAGTAGGTCATATCAAGCCCTCAAAAAACTTGCTGCTAAATTATAATTTACTCATTGGACAAAAAACTCCTCCTCCTCTAAGTTTATTTTACTCCACTAGATGAGTCTTTCCCCCAGACCACATTTGGTATCTCTGTGGCACTGAAAAATTAAGTAACTTTTCTGAGGAGCATCTTAACTGCATTTTTGCATTACAAGATGATAGAAAGCAGACTGTAGACAACTGTTCCAGCATGCCCTTTGTTTGTCAAGTCCTGCACCACAAGAATACACTGTGGAAACAGGTACAGCAGTCACAGGGTTACTTATGCTTGGAGAAACCCACAGTCAGAGAAACCCAAATATTGCAGAGAATTCTATGGTGAATATGAACAGCATACATCTCTAATGCAAGCCTTCTCCTTTAGCACAGTGGCAAGACATCTAGTGTATTTTACCCAGGTTCACAACCAAAATAGAATAATCCCATGTTACTGTCAAAGGGACATCTTTATCGGTACTCCTGCCACTAACCTGCCTAGAGAACAGGGAATCACAATTCCTTTCACTGTTCCTCACTTTTTGAGCTATTTCAGAGATAGATCCAGTAATCAGCATCACCTCTGGCAAAGCAGAGACGAATTCAAATAAATGCAATTCAAGGATTCCAGAACTTCCTGTGCTGTTCCAAGTAAGTTTTACTACACAGCATCCATGTAATTCTGGCTTTTTGGAAAGGCACTGTAGCAGGAAGGACACTATGAAGACGTACTACTTAGTTCTAAAAGAAATGTAGCTACCAAGCAAGCAATTAGAATTTTATCTAGGTCAATGGCCCCTTCAAAACAATTGACACTTTAGAAGAATAACTCTGCTGATTGAAACAGAACTCTGCTACATTTGGAAGGCTTTCATCACCTGAAGAAGGTGAAGTTGCCAGAAGAGGAGGAAAAGAAGCGATCTGACTTAACTTCTGCAGTACTAGAGAATTAAGCAACATTTGAGATGAACAATATGGACAGTATCACAAGCAGTATTTCACCAGCTGTAATGACAAAATGATCACAGCAAAACTTTCAGCTATTTGAATAGGAAAAAATAAAGTGGAAAAGTAATTTTTAGTGTTGAGTACAAATTTAAGTCAGCAGATTTTATATACTCCCATGAGGATTTCCTGTACCCAAACTGAATTTAAGTTCTCTATATTCCATGGGTCTGCCAAAAGAAAGTAGGCAAGAAGCTAAATTGGCTCTTCCAGACATACCATTTTCTGCAGCAACAGCCATTCCCAGTACATGTACACACATAAAAGTGTACCTGTAAATTAGCTGTAGACTGTGGAAACTTCTTCTCAAGCATCCTGACAGCCACCGGAGATGAGCAGAGCTCAAAGATTCAAACAAACAGGCCTGGCCCTGAAAAGTGAGATGTCTGGGGTAAAGAGAAAATGTGGACACAAGGCAGCTGAACACTCACTGCCCGCTGAACACAAAGCCTTTACCACCAAGTGGGTAAAATACATAAGGAAAACCAAAATACTAGTGATTCAGCAGCAGCCTTAAGTGCGCAATACAGATACTTGGAGTCAGGTGTACATGTGTCATTGGATGGTTTGACATCATTAGAATTGCAAGCAAAGAATCTACTATGCTTCAGAGACAGAGGAATGTATGAAATACAAAGCCAGAGAGAAAGCAACTATTCCGTTCACTTACAAGCGGGGAGCCTGTTTTCTTGTGCATCCTGGAATGACTTTGAACATTACTGCTAGAATGCATGCTGCAGTTTATTGGATAAATGATCAGTTGGGTCTGTGAATCTAAGCCTTCACACATTCTATAGCACTATGGATTCTACCCGTGACCTGCAATGGTGACTACTTAGCTGCTGCTCCCTCTATTACTCTTGCTGGTTCAGATATAATTACATCAGGAAGGGAATGAACAAGACAGCTACCAGTTATAAGCATCAGTTTTCTCATCACACTCAACAAAAAGCATCTCCTCTGATCAGCTACCTTTATTACAGCAGTGAGCAGAAGAGGCAGTCCAGGAGAAAAAAAAAAAAAAAAGAAAAAATCCCAGCAACAAAACCAAAAACACACTCTTTTGGCTACCTGCAAAAAGTAGCTAGAAATGTGCGCACCCAATTTCCTTAAGAAGGCTGGCATAACTTGCGGAATGAGGTAGCTATGGTCACTATGACAGAACTGCCTAGGAATCAGAGCATACCTGCCCTACAGAAAAGCTTAGGAAAGCTTGTGTTTTTATTATTTGTTCACAGCAGAACAGAAAAATATTTTTATGCTACATGAGGTGCCAATCAAGTTTAAAGTCTTCACGGAAAAATAGTTATTGAAACAGTGTAAGTAAAACTAAGTCAATTATAATTTTTTTGGCAATTTTGAGCAGAGAATTAGCAGTATTGTATGTCAGCTTTCACTTCACAAAACTATGTGCCATATCTAGAGATTAACATTTGGCATTCCAGTTTCCTTTAGTTATTTCTGTGATGTCTTGAACTGCTTTCCAGGTTCTTAAAAATGAGATGTTAACATAGCTAAAAATTAATATGGAACAAGCAGAATCAGCATGCCAGACACAGCCAGGTTCCCAGAACAACTAAGTATACAAGTATATGCAGCATTTGAAAAATATAAATGCTGTAGGCAAATTAGAAAACTTGTGCTAGCAAACAAAAGAACACTAAGTGGTGGGGTTTTCTGGTTGTTTTTTCTGTGGGGTTTGGGGGGTGGAGGGGTGTTGGAGGCTTAGGGGATTTTTTTTTTTTAATGCAGTTTGTCTTGAAAATAAGCATTCATTTGTCACTGTATGTATCATATTTCAGCTGGGAAGTTCTGACCAATATAACTGTTTATATTGCAAATATTTGCCTACCACAAAATGAGTGAAACCCATCAAGATCCTGGTCAGCTTTACAACTCCTGCTTAAAAGCATTCAAAGAACAGTGAAACTGAAAATAGTCATGGCAAGAAGTGATCTGTATGAACAACAAAAGCTAGTACAAAACTATTTAAAGGAACAAAGCTTAAAAATAGAGGAAACATGAGATAACAGAGAAATTGCAAACATACAGCTCAAGAACCTGAAGAGACAGAACTTCACATACTGAATCTGTGCAATACAGAACTGTATATCCTTTTCCTCTGCCAGCATGCTTCACGAGCAGCATCATGACTTGCAAGTGAGCAAAGTGTAATACATGGATTAGGTATTCTCACAAAGAACATGCCCATGGTCCCATTGGCCAGTCCTCAGATCTGATGCTCTTTTTCCTGAATACATGCCAAACTTTTTTTTTTTCCCCTTGGACCATGGCCTTCTAGAAAACACAATTCCTAAGAACGAACTAGAATTTCTTCTACACATCTGCACATATTTTAAAAAAATGCATCAGTCAAAAAACAAAAAAAGTCTTACATTAAGTCATTCCATAAGCTCTACATAAATGGGTAAAGAGAAAATTTCTATACAACAGACTAAACATCACAAACTAAACAAGCATTTGGAAACATTCTGTGGTACCCTCTCCAGTTCTGAAGGAAGCATGGTGTTCAGTTATTGAGTACTAAGGATTGCCTGACTATGAAGAGAGAAAAAAAACCAAAACCCAAGAGTATAATCTTCTTGACAAGGATCACAGCCTGAAGAAGAATCTTCCAACTTCAACAAGGACAATCATCCAATTTAGTTTCAAAATATCACATAAAAAAACCCCGTCAATCATAATGAAATCTTTCCTTTCTTTAACACCAATAGAACTTCCAATCTTAATATCCTGTACTTAATTACATAACATAAAAAGCAACAAATTAAAGGGCAGCAAGTCTTGTAACAGGGTCACTAGACCATCCCATCATCCTTGCACCGTTTTCTCCTTCACAGTCTGCTTTAAGTCACCACTCAGCTTATCAAAACAGGAAGAAAAGGATCACAGTGATTGCTTTAGGATTATGGAGGAAAAAAACCTAACTTGAAAAACCACAAAAGAGTACAAACCACTAGACTACATAGAATCATAGTGTGCAGAGAGTCCACAGGAATATCTTTACTGGTTTTTTTAACCACGTTTCCAAATACTAACACACAGTTCTTCCTGGGGACAGGGAGGTTGGCAAAGGAGGGAAGAAGCAGTTAGTTAACAAATCCATCCACTCATTAAATTGTCTACTGGTAATAGTATTTAATGGTCTGTCAGCCAGAAAAAAACTCACTAATAGTAATAGCAATAATATATATACACACACACACTTGAGAGCCTGGAGAAAAGAAGGCTACGGGGAGACCTGACTGCGGCCTTTCAATACCTAAAGGGGGCCTATAGGAAAGATGGGGAAAATCTTTTTAGTAGGGCCAGCTGTGACAGGACAAGGGGTAATGGTTTTAAACTAAACCAGGGTAAGTTTAGACTAGATATAAGGAAGAAATTCTTTACAACGAGGGTGGTGAAACACTGGAACAGGTTGCCCAGAGAGGTAGTGGAGGCCCCATCCCTGGAAGCATTCAAGACCAGGTTGGACAGGGCTCTGAGCAACCTGATCTAGTTAGCAGTGTCCCTGCTCACTGCAGGGGGGTTGGACTAGATGACCTCTAGGGGTCCCTTCCAACCCAAAACATTCTATGATTCTATGAGAGCATCCATTTCTACCCCTCCCCCATGAAGTCGTTTTTTTTTTTGCTTGACACATCATTTCTTCTTTCCCTCAACACCGAATAATAGCTGGGTCTCTCATTATTGCCCTATCAAAGTCCCATTCTGTATCTCCTGATCCTGGCCAAACGCAAGGTTGGACTAATGCACCGGGTGGAGATAACACAGCACAATGAAAGCCAGCAGCAGTAAACGATGCCGCGGCTGCACAACTTGCTGATGATATTGCTGCTGACAAGCTCCGTGCGTGTGGGCAGGACACAACCATCACGCCCGTACAGCCTACCCCACCCTCCGGCCAACAGGGAGCAGCCGTCATTGATACCGTACGGGCCACGGAAGCAATTTTTCTGTTTGCATGACACACCATAAAGGACCAGCAAGCAGCACTGGTTGCACGAACGAGGGAGGTTTCAGAAAAGGCTGAAGGACCCGGCACGCACCCCGAAGTCGACACTCATCAGGGGAGAAAGACAATAAAACCCACTCTTCCAAGCTGCCTCTACCTAAGGAACTAGGGTGGGTGAAGGATAGTAAGGGTATTATGGGCAGGTGCCTACAGCGAGTGGAATACCTAAAGCACCTAATGAAGCAAAAACATGCAAGGGAAGAAGAGAGGG